ATCAACTATCAACACTCACGGATGCAGCAGTCAAGAAATCAAAATGATGGGGACTCTACCAGACGTCAGTGCTGTCTACATGCCCCGGACTCTGGAGGCTGAACTCTGGGACAAAAGTCCACAGAGACTGGAGGAAATGCTTCCTGCTGTGGTACTCCTTTGCACTGTGTTTAAAATTAGCGCAAATTTGTGTGTATGTGAGGGAAAGACAGAGTGAGCATGAAAGAGCGCACAATTGAAACTGAAGCTTTTACAAACAGAACAATGGCTGGGCTGGAATTTCCTTCAGAACTACAAAGTGATGGAGAGGGTAGCGTGGGGTAATGTTAACTGGATCAGGGACACCTAGGGGTTCTCTTAGTATTTGGATCTGTTGGAAGTTTCCCATGGTTTCTTACCAGAATCCCTCAAAGCCCGGTACTAGCCCATATGGCAGTTTTGGGCCAATGAGAAAAGGTTTCCCCTCTGAGGGGAGGAGTCAGATGCAGCCCTGTTTTGGCACCTCTTCCACAGGCAGATGCTACCCCACTCCAGGACCCTCGCTGGAGGATCAGGCCTGGCCTAGATTCCACTCCCACTCACTCACCCAGACCAACATGCTCAACAGTGTGTGGTTACCCCATGCCTCCACCCTCTCCCCCCACCTGGCGTAAAATCACCTGTCTAAAACACAACTCCCTCCTTTGAGTAATCTTGCATCCTATAGGAAATATGCTTAAATTAAAAATAAGTAAAATTTATTTTTAAATTAAATTCCACCCCAGAAATGGGGGCAGAGATGAGGACATGGAGAGAGCGAGCAGCTGAGAATTCTAGACTCCTCAGGAAAGAGAAAGGCTGTGTGCTGGCAGTCAGGAGGCAAGCTTGCAGAATGTGCCCTTTGGTTGTTGAAATGATTATATATTTGTTTGAAATGATTATATATTTGTGAGTGTTTGTGTGTATGTACATCTTCCCCACACACACACACAAAAAATGAAATGGAAGTAAATACTGCTGAATGATGATGCACAGAGGATACTGCAATCATTGCAATGAAACGATGGTGTAAAGCTGACGTTCTCCCATGTAAACTATCAATTTACAGAAAAACTTAAAATTCCATTTGGAAAAGGAAAACTGGGGGGCTAAAAAAACATTCAGAAGTAGACACCGAGTTTTCTCTCCGGATCCAGCCTCTCCTCTGGCCTTTGGAGGCCCTGCATAGTCTGTGAGGAGGCCCTGCATAGTCTGTGAGGAGGCCCAGGCTTCGGTGGGGCTGAGCACCTGGGTGTGCTGTGCCTCACCTTCTCCATCTGACCATAGCTGTGTCTTCTGTGCCCCCAGCACTGTGCTGCTGCTGAATCCACTGGAGGTGCAGGCTGAGTTCCTAGCTGTGGCCAACAAGCTGAGCGCGCCCGGGCACTCTCCCCACAGCGCCTACGTCACACTGCTCCTGCATGCGTTCCAGGCTACCTTCGGGGCCCACTGCGACCTCCAGGGCCTGCACTGCTGGCTGCAGGTATGTTCTGAAAACCCTCCCCCATAGAGCATGTCTCCAAATAGAAAGAGCCCCCCTCTCTCCACTTCAATGTCACAGTCTCTGGACACATTGGCCTTCCCAAAGGGACATGATGGACCAGTGGCTGAAGCCCTGGCCTCATTGAAAGTGTTCCTGCATGCTGGGTCCTGACCAGGGTTGCATCATGGTACCCTGGGTCTTGGCATCAATGGCTGGTGGTTCTGAACTTGGCCTGGGCTCAGTGGGATGAGAATGAGCTTGAGACTATAGCCACACTTCCTGAATTATAGTCCTGACTTTATGGTAGGTCAGCTGTGTGGCCCTGGACAAGTCACTTCACCTCTCTGGGCTACAGTGATGAGCTCTGAAGTCCATTCCCTTATGACCATTTCTTGGGAACTGGAGGGGAATGGGGGAGAGGGAGGAGACCTGGCTCCCTGGTCATCTAGGGTGGGCCAGGAAGGGTTTTGATTGCTGGGAAAAGGCAGGCCATGACATAGGAACCAACTGTGTCTTCCTGGGGTTTCAGTCTAAGACCCTGGTGGAGCTTGAGGACATCTTCATGGAGACCGCAGAGGCTCAGGAGCTGGCATCTGGCATCGGGGATGCAGCTGAGGCCCGGCCGTGGCTCAGGACCAAGCTGTGGGCAATAGGAGAAAAAGCCGGCTTCTCTGGTATCTTAGGTGAGGCTCTTAGCAAAGTAGAGCTCCGCTTGTTTTCCCCAGCGCCGGTTCTCCCAAGGCGAGTGGTCGTGTCTGTGTGGGTGGCTCTGCTCCACAGTCATTCAGGTACCCAGGTTCTTCAACATCTAACTGCTTTACCTCCCTCTGGGGCAGGGGTCTTATCTGCAGACTTAGGATTCAGTTGTCACCGTGTTCCAACCTGTGGGAAGAGGAAAAGAGAGCAGTCATTGAGGACAAGGGGGTTTTGTCAGTTGAAGATAACGCAGATGCTGCACACGTCACTCTGTATACATCCCTTTGAGCCCCCTTCGTCATATGGCCACATCCAGCTCCCGAAGAGCCTGGGAAGTTTCAGGGAGAGAACAATCCTGCTGTAGGATTAGCACTGAACTGCTAGCACCAGGTCATTGGTTCAAACTTACCAGCCACTCCTCAGAAACCCTATACAGGGTTGTTATGAGTCACAACCAGCTCAGTGGCACTTAACAACAACATTACATTATTGAAGGAGCCTCAGTGGTGATGTGGGTTAGACGTTGGGCTGCTCAACGTAGTCTCAGGAACCCTAAGGAGCAGTTCTACCCTGTCATGTAGGCTGTAGGGTCACTATGAGTTGGAAATGACTCGGTGACAGGGTCCCTGGTAGTTCAGATGGGAAGCACTCAGCTGCTAACAGCCCACTTGCGGTTCCAACCCACCAGCTGCTCCATAGGAGAACGATGTGACCATCTGCTATGGGGGCATTCTATGCTATTCTGTGGGGTTGCTGTGATTCAGACTTGTGAGTAATGGGTTAGGTTTGATCACAATATTGGCGTTTCTGGGTGGTGTAAATGGGTAATGTATTCGGCTGTTAAACTAAAGGTTGGAGGCTTGAGCCCACCCAGAAGTGTCTCAGAAGAAAGCCTTGGTAATGTACTTCTAGAAAAATTAGCTCTCAATAGGAGTCCTGGTGTGGCACTGTGGGCTAATGCATCAGACTGCAAAGTCGTTTGACCTGCAAGTTCAGTGGTTCAAGCTCACCAGCTTCTCCTTAGAAACCCTATACAGGGTCGCTATGGGTCGGAATCAACTTGACGGCATTAATAATAACAATTCTACTTTGACACACATGGGGTTGCCATGTGTTAGAGTTGACGCAATGGCAGCTGGTGATGTTGGATCATGAGGTCCTCATAAAGCTCTAAGGAGACGGTACCATTCTTTTTGCACATGGACACTGTAAAATGAGTCTCAGTGATTGTGACCTGGCCACATTCATTCCACTTTGGGACATGAGAACATAGATAATGGTGTGCTTGGGAGGTGGAGGAAGGCTGGGAGCTAGGCAGCTGAGCTTCTAACCTACCTCGCCTTCAGCCAGCCAGCCGTGGCCTTGTGTGGGTCCTTTTCCAAGGCAGTCTTTTGTGTGACGGAGACTGGATCCACCCATCTCAAGGCCCTTGCATTTCTTGCCCACCCTGTTCCTACAGACACTGCTAAGCCTGGCAAACTCCACACCATCCCCATCCCTGTGGCCAGGTGCTATACCTACAGCTGGAACCAGGACAGCTTTGGTAAGAAGCCACTGGGGCCCCGTTTTTTGCTGCTCCCTCTCCCCTAGCCTGAGCTCACTGTCTGGTCCTGGGTCTGTACCTTCCACTCCCCAAGAACCCTCCTTCTTAGGCAGGCTCACCGAGCAGGGGGCAGTGCCATGAATCCTGGCTGGCCCTGTCCTCCAGCTCCAGTCTGAGTCCTGTCTGAGACTCGAAGGATGAACGAGGAGTGTGGTGGTCGGGACACTGACGTAGGGCTTCTCCTGGCTTCTCTGCAGACATCCTGCAGGAAATCCTGCTCAAGGAACAAGAGCTGCTCCAGCCAGGGATCCTGGGGGATGATGAGGAGGAAGAGGAGGACTTGGACACCGATGGACACTGTGCAGAGAGGGACTCTCTCTTCTCCACCAGCTCCGGGGCCTCCCGGGACTCCACCCTGTCGTTGGCCTACTCTCAGGCCTCAGGGCCTGCCCTCTCCCGCCAGTTGCTGACCTCCTTCGTCTCAGGCCTCTCAGACGGCATAGACAGTGGCTACGTGGAGGACAGCGAGGAGAGCTCCCCCGAGTGGCCCCGGAAGCCTGGCAGCCAGGAGCGCCGGGCTCACCGCAGACCTGGGCAGTTAAACCGGATCTATAAACTCTTCAAGAGCACCAGCCAACTGGTACTGAGGAGGGATTCACGGAGCCTGGTGGGCACCACCGATGAGGTCCTCCCATTGCGGCGGGCAGGGAGCCTGTGCACCCCCCTGGACGACCTGGTCCCGCCCCCCATGCGCGCCCAGCGTTCCCACTCCTTGCCCCAGTCCAAGCTCAGCGCCCAGTTGCCCAGCTGGCTCCTGGCCCCTGCCTCACGCCACCAACGCCGCCGACCCTTCCTTAGCGGGGATGAGGACCCCAAGGCCTCTACGCTCCGTGTGATGGTCTTCGGTTCTGATCGGATTTCGGGCAAGGTTGCTCGGGCTTATAGCAATCTGCGGTAAGAAGGGTTGGGGTAGCTGGGCCAAGGGGCCTGCTGGTGGGTGGACTCTAGGGCATCTCGGATGTCTTCCTTCTTCTCACCATCACCATCTTCACCATATTCTTGTGCCAGGCGGCTAGAGAACAATCGCCCACTCCTCACCCGGTTCTTCAAGCTGCAGTTCTTCTACGTGCCTGTGAAGCGGGGCCCTGGGACCGGAACCAGTACCTGCCCAGCCCCTCCGAACCAAACACCCTCGCTCCCCACCGACTCCCCAAGGCACCCCAGCCCTACAGTAGGTCCCAAACCCACGACCAAATGGGGTGGCAAAGTAGAGTGGACATGAATGAGTCCCAGTTACTAGAAGGGGGCTGGCTGGCTGAAGATCACCACTTACCAGGGTTTATGGGAGCCCCTCCTCCATGCCTAGTCCCTGTTAACAGTCTGGGCTACTAAGCAAAAGGCTGGAGGTTGGAATCCATCCAGAGGCACCAGGGAAGAAAGCCTCAACCATCTATTTTTAAAAAACAAAACCAAAAAATGTTAGCCATTGAAAACCCTAGGGAACACAGTTCAGCTGTGACACACCTGGGGTCACTATGAATCAGAGTGGACTGAAGATCATTGGTTTGGCTTTTTTCTTTCTGACCCTAAGGAACCCTGGTGGTACTGAGGATTAGGTGATGTACTGTTAACTGCCAGATCAGCTGTTCAAACCCATGATGGGAGAAAGATTGATAGTCTCAGAAATCCTGTACAAGGTTGCTATGAGCTGGAATCAGCTGGATGGCAGTGGATTTGTTTCTGGGTGGGGTTGGATGCCTGGCCCTGGCTCCAAAGTGTGTTCCCTGCTCTGCATTTAGGTATGATGTGTTGCCATATGTCATATACCAGAAGTTAACAGCCTTTTCCAAAACCAGGCTCAGCTCCAATTGGAGCACATGGCCCTACAGGACCTGGGACCATGCTGGGCAAGCTCCCGGAATGTAGGTATGACAGTCTCCCCTTTGCTCCAGCAGTTGGGTTCAGTGCCCTGGGAAGACAGTACCAATGACATCTCCCACTACCTCGGAATGCTTGACCCCTGGTATGAGCGCAACGTGCTGGGCCTCATGCACCTGCCCCCTGAAGTCCTGTGCCAAGTAAGTGACCGTTGTGGTAAGGGAGGACTCACTGGCTACAGGCGTCCCCTCAATTAGAAGGTCTTGGGTTTGGGGAGTTCAGCTTCCTTCTTGGAGGACAAGAGCTCACTTGGGAAAGATTAGGGAGGGTGGGTATGTCTGGGCATGGGCTGGAGGCACATCCATGATGGGAGGGGAGGGGTTTCTGTACATCTTAAGCTTCAGCCCTCTTCCTCAACTCCCTGGAGGCTCAAGTCTGTGGTCGGCAGCAGTGTGGAGGTTGGGTTGCCTTCTTGTTTCCTGCTTCTATCTGACCATCTCCCGCCCTGGTTCTCTGCCTCTCCACCTTTCTCCTCTGTCTCCTCGTGTGTGTGCCGCTGTCTCTTTCTCTCCTATTTTTTCTCCTACTCTGTCTACATGTCCTTGTGGTGTGGGCGCCCTCCGGCCCCCAGCAGTCTCTGAAGTCAGAAGCACAGCCCCTGGAAGGCTCCCCAGCCCAGCTGCCCATCCTTGCTGACATGCTGCTCTACTACTGCCGCTTCGCTGCCCGGCCCGTGCTCCTGCAGGTCTACCAGACAGAGGTACGCTCACTCTCCTGCCCCACGCTGCCTCCACAGCTGGCCACACTGGCGGCCAGGTCGGGACCGCAGGCCCACTCCCACCCCACCCACCGCATCCCTGGACTAGAGGATCCTGGTAGGTGGGCCTCTCCAGTGGTCCGCACTGATGCACATGCTCTCTCTAGTTGACCTTCATCACTGGGGAGAAGACCACAGAGATCTTCATCCAGTCCCTGGAGCTGGGTCACTCTGCTGCCACACGGGCCATCAAGGCTTCAGGTGGGTACCGCCAGAGCTAGGGTGCAGACATGAGGAGAGGCTATGGAGAGGGGGTTAGTGGGTCCTGGTGGAGCAGGGGAGGGATTGAAGGCTCTCTCCGTGTATCTCTGTGAATGGCACAGGTCCCGGCAGTAAGAGACTGGGTATCGATGGTGACCGGGAGGCTGTCCCTCTAACACTACAGATTATTTACAGTAAGGTAAGAATGGTGTGCACCCCACTCCCTTCTGCTGAGCCTACCTCCATGGGAGCCTGAGCCACACGCTGATGCCCCTGGGCCATCGTAAGCCAGAAGGCCATAGCAGGCGACTCAGGTTCCCCCTGGATGCTGAGGGAAGGACTGGACATTCTTCCTGCCTACCTCCAAGGCCTCTGTCCTCTCCTGCCACCTGAATGTGCTCAGCAGCATTCATGAAGGGTTTGGGGAGAAGGCTACTGGGCCTGGCTCCGGGGTAACAGTGTCAGAGAGTGTGCTTTCAGAGGCAGTGTGTGGGGCTGCTGGGCCTGGCTGGGTGCACGGGCGTTGGGATGGGGTAAGACAGGGAGTGAGGAGAGTTGTGTGGGTAGGGATCAGAGGGGAGCTTGAGTACACCAGGGGACATGTTGTCTTGTCCCAGGCAGAGGCCAAGAGATGGGGAACCCGTCTTTCTTCCTCCAGCTATTCAAAAGATACTTATTTAGTACCTACTTACACGGAACTGTTTGCTTCTTCTTGTTAAGTATCTTGGAGTTGGTTCTAACTCATAGCAATGTTTCTGAGGAGCAGCTGGTAGGTTTGAACACAGACCTGTGGTTGGCAGTCCAGGGCTGATCCTACAGCGCCACACCAAGCTCCCTGTTAGGAATGCCCATACAGATCAGAGACAGTACTCACAACAGTTAGGGGTTTATTAGGGAAGTTAACAGGTTACAGTTTGGTGTCAGAAATGCTCAGGGCACAATGGTTCCAGTCAGCTACTGCAGAATGAATGCCCACAGGACACACCACACCCCAAAGGCACTTACTTGACTCTAGCTCCATGGGTCAGCAAACCTAGCTCTCCTACTCACTGCCTGGTTTCAAGCAAGCTTCCTGCCCAGAGTCACTCACAGCTTTACTTGTTCCTTGGACTGGGAGGCCCATTGCTCTGGTTCCTGGGTCATTGCACAGAAATCTCAGGGTCCCAAGGACATGCTCCACTTTAGTCTCTTTGATGGTAGTAAGACCTCCCCGCTACTGTTTCTGAGATGGCTCATTTTAAACCCATGCTAGAGTTTCAAGTTTTTATAATGAACTGTGCTGACATCCACAATGGAATCATGCCATCTTTCAGTATCTTCTCCCACCTTCTCTGATCCAGATCCAGCAGGGCAGAAACATGGTTTTCTGGGAGTTACAGACTATGGCTAGAAGAGACATTAGATAATTTCACTACACCACAGGTATATAGGTGGTAATAGAAAAGACCTGGAGGAGATTCCCCAATGGAGAAACCTAGAATCAAAAGAACCAAGGACTTAGGAGAAAGCCTTGAGGACTTTTTTCATATAATAGTGGTCAGGAGATGGTGATCCCACAGGACAGAAAAACAGCTAAAGAGGTGAGGGAAAACCAGGAGTGTGCCATCCTGAAAGACCAGGCATTCTGAAATACCATCGTAGAGTTTCCAGCAACTGACAAGTGGTTGGGGATAAAGGGCTCCTAGTGAGGAAGCCCTCCCCCTTTGGGTTAGTGAGAGCTTTGGCGGTGTGCTGACGCCCAGCAGCTCCCTGGGCTGGCGGGTCTAGAGCCTTCTCTCTGAGGAGAAGGTGCAGGGCATCAGACTTTACTGCACGTCCAGGGTGCCATCAGTGGACGGAGTCGCTGGAGCAATATGGAGAAGGTCTGTACCTCTGTCAACCTCAACAAGGCCTGCCGGAAGCAGGAGGAGCTAGGTGAGTGGGCAGGGCAAGGGGGGTTGCTGGCAAGAGAGGTTCGGAGCCGGACCTGAGCCATCCTTGCCTTTCAGACTCCAGCATGGAGGCCCTGACGCTAAACCTGACAGAAGTGGTAAAGAGGCAGAACTCCAAATCCAAGAAGGGCTTCAACCAGGCAAGTGCTTCCCTCCCTCCCCTTCCAGCCACACTCTGCTCAGCACAAGAGCCCAGGGACAGTACGTGTGTGTATGTATGAGGGAGGGAGAGCATGGGTGCATGCATACAAAGGGGAGAGTGGGTGTGAGTATGAAGAGTGTGGGTTTGCAGTGGAAAGTACGAGGGACAGTGTGGTGGGCTTACATCTGGTTGCTGACTGGGATTTCCTTCCAGATCAGCACATCACAGATCAAAGTGGACAAAGTGCAGATCATCGGTTCCAACAGCTGCCCCTTTGCTGTGTGTCTGGACCAAGATGAGAGGAAGATCCTGCAGAGTGTGGTCAGGTAGGAAAGAGGGGTGGCCCGCTCTGCATCAGAGAAGCACAAGGTCCCTGGGGAGGGATCAGCGTCTGAAGGGATGGGAGGCCAGCCCTTACATCTACCCTGCCCCACAGGTGTGAGGTCTCACCCTGCTACAAGCCAGAGAAGAGCAGCCTCCCACCACTTCAGAGGCCCCCTTACCCACTCGCCCAGACTGCACCTGACCTCTGCTCCCTTCTCTGCCTACCCATCATGACTTTCAGCGGAGCTCTTCCCTAGCATGACACAAGGCTGATCTGGAAACCTGGGGGCAGCCTCCCCTGGGCCCCGACATCCTTCCTGCCCTCCACGGTTGGCAGAGAGGGTCTTACTCCCTGTTGGGAACCAGATGACCGTGGACCCTGCAACAGGCATGGGGTAGATGGTTTCTGGAGACTTGGGCTTTCCTTGGGGAAGAGCACTTTGGCATCTCAGCCTCTAAGAGCCTTCACAGTTACTAAGAGCCTTCACAGTTAATGGGCTGCCCTCCAGCCCCTAGCACAAGCTAGGACTCTTGCAGAGGAAACAGCCTTTTCTTCCAATTCTTGGTTGGGCCTACTTCTTACTTTTTGAAAGATTTAGAGAATCAAGACTTGGAGAATCCTTTTTGTCTGGGATTCTTCCCCTTTACCCTGGAACTCAGTAGAAACATTGATAAAATTTTTCTTTCTTAATCTCCAATACCTCGCTCTGTCACACATACCTAGACACATACTGACACATACATGTATGTACATATGCGCACACACACACTCTCATATTCCCGGAGTCTCCTGAAAAACAGCACTAAACTCTTTGTTTACTATTGTCAGAACCTGGGACAGAGTCTCTCTCTGGAGGCCCTTTCGGAGATCCTTGGAAGATAGGACAGGCTTACATTTAGTAGTGGCCAAGTTACTTTCTAGTTAAATGACCAGAAGGAAGAGAATTAACTTCTTTCCTCAGCACTAAAATTGTGGAAACAGAACAAGGTATTGGTACTCGGCTGCTCAGAGGTTGGCAGTTCAGACCCACCCAGTGGCACCACTGAAGAAAGGTCTGGTGATGATTAAAGCCAAGAAAACCCAGAATCATTCTAGTGTGTAACACGTGGGGTCGCCATGAGTCAGGTGTGATTTTTGGAAAGAGATTACCTGACTTTGAAGATGAATGACTTTACCCTCTGAATGCTGGGTCCGTCCCTCTGTCTTGGGCCACATGATGCTCTCACTGTCTCTGGAACATTCTTCATTCACTCCTTTCCAATTTTCTGCGGAGGGAGAATCAAGAACAGGTGGATAAGGAGCGGCCACTTTCACCATCTGAAGGACGACTTTGTTGGAGTGATAAGGGTTTGCTTAGCTGTCCCTACCCTTCAACCCTTCTCTACTAGGTTGGCCCCAGAATACCTGATGCCCACCTCACTCCTTGAACTGGTGTACACCTGGGGTGCAGTCATCCGCCCCCAAACATTCACTAGTGTTGTTCAGGTACCTAGGCAAAACCCTAGAGGAGTAGAATGGAAGGCCCGACCTCATGGAGTTTCATGCCTGGTTGAGGAAAACGGATTCAGGCGTGAGGAAATGACTATCACATGGTAGAAAACTCGATTCTAACATGAAATCTGCCAGGATGGAAGCCCATGGGGGGTTAGGATGATAAGGCAGGACTTGGGGTCAGGTTTGGGACTGGAAGAGACGGGGATGGTAGCTTTGGAAGTATAACATTGTCTCCTGCACATTGCCCTTCCGTTTCTTCCTTTCTCTGCTTCCTTCTGCTCTAAAGGTCCTGGGCTTATAGGAATCCACAAAACACCAGCCTTGAATGCTCATAACTTGAAAGAAGTGGACAAAGCCAACTCGTGCCCTATATGATCCTTCTCTTCTCCTAACCAACTGTGCTTGCTCCAGGCTTCAGAAGAGTGCTCTACCCTACTATACCTTTGATATTTTATTGTTGTGTGTGTGTGAGTTAGGTGGTTGTCCCACAGAGGTCTAAGAGTAAACTAATGAAATTTAATATTATTATCAAATAAAACTTGATTACTTCTGTATTTAATGACTTTTGCTGCGTGACAATTAACTGCTAGTTAGATGGTTTACATTAATCACTTTATACAGCAGAAGTAAGAATCTTTGAGACTTTTTTTTTTTTTTGTAATTTTTCCCTCTATAAAGAAAATGTGCTAAAATTTCCTGACACCCTGTTCTAAACTCACCAAGACACAAATATTCCTACACCTCAAGACTTCACACTTGGGGTTATGTATCTCACTGTAGAAACAGAAGGCCATGCTTATAGCTGCTTGGGTGAAAAGCCTCAGGGAGGGGCGGGGCCTATAGCTCTTGCTGCTGATAGGTGGTGCTGAGAGGATGGCTGGACCTGGATCTGGGGCTGCTTCTAGACTTGGCTCAAGGAGGGGAGGAGAAGTGGAGGACACTGTGACTTGGGATAAGTAAATAAACACCAAGTTCTCAGAACAGCTATTCTGGATGGAAGAAGGAGGACCTGTGAGAGGCTCTAATTTTGCTGTAAAAAGAGCTCTGATCGCGTAGCGGTAACGAATTGGTTGCGAACCTCAAGGTCGGCAGTTGGAAACTACCAGCTGTTTACGGGAGAAAGATGAGGCTTTCTGGTCCCATAAAGATTTACAGCCTTGGAAACCCCGTGTAGGGTTGCTATGAGTCGGAACCGACTCCACAGCACATAACCACCAGCAGCAGCTACTATAAAAGGAGCTCTGGTAGCGTAGCGGTTACGAATCGGGCTGCCAACCTCAAGGTCAGCAGTTCGAAACTACCAGTGGTTCCGTGAGAGAAAGATGAGGCTTTCTGCGCCAGTAAAGATTTACAGCCTCGGAAACCCTGTGCAGGGTCGCTATGAGTCGGAATTGACTCCACGGTACTTAACAACAATAGCTACCATAAGGAGTCCTAGTGTGGCACTGTGATTAATTCGCCAGACTGCAAAGCCGTTTGAACTGCAAGGTGTGTGGTTCAAGCTCATCAGCTGCTCCTTGGAAACCCTATACAGGGTCGCTATGGGTTGGAATTGACTTGACTTGATGGCACTTAACAACAACAAGCTACTGTAAGTACTAAACCACCCTTAGAATTCAATTAAGATGCTCATGTGTCTTCAGGACATCTTGGGGTCACCTAATCCAGGCTGAGTTCAAAGTGGCTTGGCTCTTAGACATAGATTGGGTTCAGGTCTACTGTGTGTATGTCTCAGTTTCTAGGGACCAGTATGATAGCACCAGAGGATAGTGATATCCACTAGGGCCTGGGCCTAGCACTGGCATACTAGCTCTCCTGCCAACATTAGGCAAAACTGATGAAAGCATCTGAACCCACAAGATTCCTGAACCACAGCAAAGTTCATACAACTTAAAAGCAAATTCACATGAGAAGGGCCTTTCACCTCTACAGCATTCTAATACACCAGGGCCCCGGTCTGGTCCTGGAAAAACATCAGACCCAGACTGTGGGACATTCTGCAGGATACCTCATCAGTGCTCCTTTAGATTGTCAATATCATAAAAATCAAGGAAAGACTGGGCATATGACAGGGACTTCTGGGAAGTGGGACATCCATAGGGATTGGTTCAGCTCCTTAGGTATCCTGGCTTGACCAGAGGCTGTGTGAATGCTCATCAGATTCCAGAGTAGGTTCAAACCCCTTAAACACCCCTGGCTGATGGATTCTGATGACACACATGCAGACGATATACAAGAAACACGTGCAAAGCAAGAAAACGTGACCCAGGCATAGGAAATCAAATGCAATCAACAGAAATTTTTCTGTGTGCCCTCAGATGTTCAGATTAGCATAAGAATACCTCAAACATATTTATAATATGTCCAAAGAACTAGAGAACCTGAGGAAAATGATGATGAATAAGGACTCAGAAAATAGGGAATATCTCAATACATTTTTAAAAAGAAGAAATGGAAATTCTGAAGTTGAAAAGTATAACATGAACATTTTGCTAGAGTGGTTCAGTAGCAGATTTGAGATAGCAGAAGGATGAATCAGTGTACTTTAAAATAGATCAATAAAGATCTGATCTAAAGAACATGGGGTCAGGGGAGATTGGGGAACAATCTCAGAGACTTGTAAGACAGCATCAAGCATGCCCATATATAGGAGTGTTAGGAGTCCTAGAAGAAGCAAGACAAATATTTGAAGAAAGACACTTCCAAGAAGCTCACCCAAGTAAAATAAGTTCACCTGGATACAACATCTTTGTGGTAACTTCTGTCTTAGAAGAAGTGCAGCCAGATGCTGTTCAGGAGCAAGGATGTCAAGACATCGTCTTACATATTTGTACTTCTATCGGATGTCAATAAGGATGATCATGGAAGAATTGATGCATTTGAGTTGTGGTGTTGGAGGAGAATATTGAAAGTATCATAGGCTGCCAAAAGAACCAATAGATCTGTGTTGGAAGAAGTGCAGCCAGAGCACTCCTTGGGGGCCAGGATGGCCAAACTTCATCTCTCATACTTCAGACATATTGTCATGAGGGACCAGTCACTGGAGGTGGATATCATGTTTGGTAAGGTGGAGGGTCAGAGAAAAAGAGGAAGACCCCCAGTGAGATGGATTGGCAAAGTGGCAGCATCAATGGGCTCAAGTGTGGCAACAATTATGAGGTTGGCCCAGAACTGGCCAGTGTTTCGTTCTGTTGTGCATAGGGTCGCTAAGAGTTGCTACTGACTCGATGGCACCTAACAACAATAAGTGTGGCCAGTCCCTGGAAAGGGACATCATGCTTGGCAAAGTATAGAGTGTACACAAGAGAGGAAGACCTCCCTGACAAGATGGACTGACACGGTGACAGCAACAAAGGACTCAAGAACAATGTTAAGGATGGCACAGGACTGGACCGTGCTCTGCTCTGTTGTCTATACAGTTGCTGAGTCAGAACTGACTTGGTGGCTGGCACCTAACATCAATAACAAGATACATAGTCAAAATAGTGAAAGACAGAAAACGTTGAAAACAGCAAGAGAATAACAATGTATCATCAACAGGTTGGTTCTCAGTGGAAACAATGGAGGTCAAAAGGCAGTTAGATGATGGATTAAAATGCTGAAAGGAAAAAGCTGTCAACCTAGAATTCTGTATTCAGAAAAACTGTCTTTCAAAACTGAAGGCAAAATAAAGACATTCCCAAGATCAACCAAAACTGAAAGAATTTGTGACTGGTATAGACCAACCTTACAAGAAATACTAAAGGAAGTCCTTAGGCTGAACGGCAGCAATACTGGATAGTACGTCACATCTGCAGGGAGAAATGAAAATT